CATACATGGTTACCTATGCTAAAATCTGAAGTAGACCAGAGAAACATACACCCAAATTAAATTTACATCAAAATTATTAATTAACATTACCTTTACTAATTTAAACAATGAGATTAAGTCAAAGTCACATAACTAACAATTTGCACAGATGAATTATCAGAGCGAATTTTCATATACTGTATTTTCCTACTATTGATACACAATTTATTAACATACTCTTTTTTAGGTTGATTTAAGTTCTTTTGATAACGATAGCAGAAAATAGCTATCGAAACATCAAGGTAATTTTCCAAATTAATTTCTTTACTAATTGGAATTTTCTCTTACAGCTTGAGCCTAAGTGTGTCGCAGGATACCCTCTAGGTGATAGTTCTTGATTACTTTTTGATAAATAATTCGTTCTTATTGCGAAATAGGAGCACTATTTATCAATCTGTAACAAAAGACGTGAGGAAATTCTGTCTTCTTTAAAGACAAACATTTTTGAGGCGAAATACCCAAAAAGAAGTTTGTAAAAATAACATCATTCTAAGTCCACACTTTTTCAAGTTTAGGCTGCAGTTTTTTAAATTACGCAGCTTGCCAAGTCCAAACCGTAAAGGGAACACGAATTGCTGCCTGTTGAGATGTTTAGACGTTTCTTGATGCTGCATCGGATTTTGTAACTCACTCTTATCAGGAAACTGGCAATTCTTGTTCTTTTTTCGTTGGGCTTTGCTTGGTTTTACTCAATTTAAGTATATTTTGCCTTCAGTACAACACAACAAGCTTTTTACTTGATCTGAACCGAGCAAATTGCCTACATTGAAATCATTTTTATTTGGTTCTATTGGATTTTGCTGCATTATTCGAAGCCTCTAGTTTGTCACTAGCAATTCGCAACGAAATAGTAATGATAATAATTGAAATACTTTTTGTGCGGGAATGTCCGTGTCTTGTAGGATCACTTCGATGCAGAGCAGCGGATTTTGCGATGATAAATGTTCAAATAGTGCAGAGACTGGCACGAAAGTTCTGGCTTCGCTACCTCTTTGTTACTCTTCTCACGAGGAGAGGTATTGAACACCTTCACGATTTTTCAGGCACCACACTCTGCTTGTTGCGTATTTATCGTGTTATTGTTGAACATTTTATTTCTTTTTATCAGGAACTTTTATTCAACTAACAAGCTAAATGAGCCGTTGGAGTTTAATCCAGTCGATTAATTCATCAAAAGATTTATAGAAAGTAAAACGGGAGAAACGAAATGTTTTTACAGAATTGCAAATGATGTAAATGTGCAGTTGTTTACTCTTCCAGTATTTAACTTCTTGTGCCACCTTAAGGCAACAGTTCGTTTTCAGTTCTGTCTATCAATTTAGTCACCAGGTCACTCCATTATCCAACAAACTATCAACAATACAATTGTGCGGAAAACATGGAAGGTTGCTTTATCAACTGCATGCTCACTGATGAATTTGCACCAAATCGTGTACGTTTATTCTGAATAAATCAGTCACTTTGCAAATACCTTCTATGTTTACTGGCCCAAATGCACCGGGAAACTGGCATGCCAGTAGTGGTCAAGTAGAGTGGCTGTATGCCTGTGTATGTTGGCTGTGTAGGCGCAAGGCGAGTGTACTAACAGTCCCGGAAATTCGAATTATGGCCCCAAGTCTGGAACGAGGACTCGATTCGCCATGTTACTCGAGGTAAACGGCACCGAGCTATTCTTTATTCGGTATGCCTCTTTTGCATGGCATCATTTTTTTGTTTTTATTTATACAGGGCGTCCCATTAATCCACTACAATCTACATTTAGGAATGTTTTTCGGGGTTCGAAGCCCTGGTCCATGGGAATTTCTTCCTGACGTTTCGTCCACAACTGCGGTGGACATCATCAAAGGCGATGAGGCAGTGGGCGAAGTGATCTCCCGTGCTTTCCGACTAAGACTGGTTCAACTACTGGATCCCCTGTGGCCGTGTAAATTCGACAAAGCCCGGAAAACATTCCTAAATGTAATTTAACTGGCCGTGAAAGCCTTCATAGTCTGACACTACAATCTAATTTTCAATTGTAACCTACCTGGGTGCTCTTTTTGTCTATTAAAATTGTTACACTTTTTGAAAGTGTCTATCAATTGAGATGATTATTGGTGCGAAAACCATGCTAATTTGTCCATACTTTTCGTTAAAAAAGTTGATTTCGTGTTTAAAGAGCGCTTTAAGCGCAAATTTTTAAGTATACAGATACCATACAGTAAGTACCATACAGTAAGATTACCAGTCCCGATAAGTCTGAGATGAAACAGCAAAAAAACTGATTTTTTTGTCAAAAAAACCAAGATTGAAATCGGATCTCGATTTTCCCGTTTAAAGTTTACAATGGACTGATGGACGAAAACAGAGAAACTCAGCAGTTTCAGTGCTTTTCAATGTTCAACTTCTTGTGTACGATGATAGTGATGAGTATTGAAGATGTTTTCAGAAATTATTCCCTGTAGTGTTCGCAATTTTAGAGGGCGATTCCTTGGGTATTTCTAAGATCAAAAAGTCCAATGTCTTACTTAGAACGAGCTACAGGGTATTAAAAGATTAATTTTTGGTTGTTCCAAGAACATTTTGAAATATTTTCGATATTTGGGGGTCTTGTAACGTGAGAAACTTAAAATTTATCTTAGTTTTGCCTAACATGTAGAGGGCACAAGCACTTTTTTATTGCTATATAAATTTAATGAGAAATTGCTTAGCAAAAACGAAAATTTATGTCAATTTGTTTAGAACTGTATCTGGATCAGCTTGGCTTTATGGACACATGCCTGGATGGACTTTTTATCCAAAAAATACATGAGGAAGCGCCCTGTGGAATATCGAAAACTTACAAAAAACTGGTATATAGAGAATCATACAGATTAGGCAAAAAAATCTCAATTGATAGATAATTCAAAGCGACTGATAAATGTCCAAAAACATGAAAAAACACCAGGTTTGGCGAGATCTTTTGCCTGTTTTGTCACGGACACCTTGTATATCTTCTTGTACATACTACCAGCATTGTACCAATTGGGGATTAGCTTTATTATAATCTTTAGGACCCAAGGGCGGATCCAGGGGGGG